TTTTCCAGTTTCTGTCACTTATCAGGATTTAAGGTTTTATAAGCAACAATGGAAGGGAAGAGAAAACCGATGTTTTTGTTTGCTCTTTCTTATTGGGCTAATGTTTTTAACATATCAACGATAAGAATATAAAAAAGCTGTTTTTCTCTAATGATTGCCTTCTCTTCTTAATTGGTCTATGATAATAATTAGGTGAAATTTTATTTTCAAGAAGAAAAAGTTTTAGTTCTCTTCTATTTAAAACCTCTCTCCATGAGCTGCATATTCATAAAGTAATAGCAAGAAAGATTTTTTTACTTCCAACTGTACTTCTATTCATAGTCCTATTTGATGTAATATCTTCTAAAAGAACATAGTTAGTCGAGGGAAGTCTAGGCCTAGGCAGAGATTTGAGAGCATGGGGTTGGTTATTAGGACCGGCGCACTCAGATTTGGTATTTTTATTTTGGTCATTTCATATGTAATTCTTTGTATTTGTATGGTAATGTGGAGTGTTGTCATAACCCTCACATTATGGTTTCTGCCGCTTTTCTTCTAACCGGCATTTCACTCTTATGATGAAGGCCATTTGAGAACGAGGAGGTACATGTTGAGTTTTGGGGCCGCCATAGCAATGCATGAATCAGGATGGATGGAGGCTGGAGCAGAGCCTGAAAGGTGACTGGAGACGGAGAGTCGTAGCTCGTCTCGCTCAGTTGCTCGCTAGCCCTTCAATCTTCGCACTTTGGTCTTTCGCAGAATCGCAGTTCAAGCCACTTGTCCCCTTCGCTTCACGCCTTCACTTAGTTCACCCCCGCACCCTTTTTCTTTTGCTTTTGGGCCCTTCCAATTTTTTTGGGCCCTATGCAGTTGGGCTGTCCACACCCCCGACCCGGCCCTGATCAGGAGTAAGGTGAGCGCTTTTTATGCCTAAAGCGAGGGAGTACTCTATTGCCGTGAGTGCGCCTCATGACTTTGTATTGAATACCTTTGAGGATTTGAGTACTACAAAGGGATCAAATAATGTATGTAATTATTAGTAATAAAATTTCATCTAATTGTTTTGAATAAAATGTTTATCAAATTTGGTGTATGTAATAGAATAGTTTGTATTTAAAAAATACTATACCTTCATATATGTGCGTTTTGAAAGACATTCAATTATCGGGGTTTGATAAATGAATTATTTGTTTGGGTTTTTAAAATGGTTCCATACACCCAAAGGTGTGACATATTTGGTTTTGCTAAGATTAATCATAATCTAAAAGTGCTATTTCAACTATTAGAATTTTGGTCAAAAAAAAATAACTATTAGAATTATATTTAAAAAAAACTACTAGAATTATGGTACAATTACTTTTCTTTCAAACAACTCTCAAGTCTCAATCATAATAAGTCAAATATGATTAATGTGGGATAGTTTTGTATGACTACTAATTAATTTTTTTTGGAAGAACTACTAATTAATTTAATATCCCGTGCAACGCACGGGTAAAAGACTAGTTATACATAAAGTATTTACGGTAGTATTAAAAGTAGAGTTTGTTAGCATGCATGCAAATTATTAGATCACATGCCTATGTTAATTAATATCAACATTTAGGTAGGTATATCATATATGTATGGCCGGGTTGATATAACATACATGTAATGTAATACTTAGGCCTGGACTCGGGCCGGTTCGGGCCCGGTTCGGGCCTGGGCCCGGCCGGGCCTCGGGCCAGGAAATGGGAGGCCCGGGCCCGAACCGCCGGTGGCCGGTTCCGGTCCCGGTTCCGGGCCAAACCGGGCCGGGCCGGGCCGGGCCGAACCGGCCCACTTAATTTTTTTTTTTTTTTTTGCTCTCCTATTTAATCCCCTACCCCTCCCCCTCAACCCCAAACCATCCCAAACCACCTCAAATGACCCAAAATACCTAATCCAACCTAAAACTTAAAAAAATTTCAAAAAAAAAAAAAAAAAAATTAAAATCCGGCCCGGACCGGGCCCGAACCGGCCGGGCCGGTTCACCAAAACCTGGGCCCGGGCCCGAACCGCCCAGCAGCCGGGCCGGGCCGAACCGAACCGAGGGACCCACCGGGCCCCGGGCCGGGCCGGGCCAAACAGTAACCGGGCCGGGCCGGTTCCGGGCCGGGCCGCCCGGCCCGAGTCCAGCACTAGTAATACTTAACTAGGTGCCTAGATGGTATACTGGTGGATGACGTGAGATGTAATGTTGTGACGAATTATATAACATGACATAATATGTTGAACAGTATAGAATTTATGATAATCTGAACACATTTATACGATATATTTTCTTGGGCCAAACATTTTGTTGGTATAAATTCTTAAATCTTGATAAAAGAACCGATTCTTGAATTATGAAAAAGGTGGATGTTAATTAACGAAGAGCCACTGTGTAAAATTTAAATATGAAATTAGTATTTAAATTAAAAGAATATGTTTTGTGAAAGCCTTACTCTTGATCCGGTACTCTGACTAGGATACTCCTGTCCTGTTTAGTGTACTATGTACACTCCTGAAATTCTGTTTAGAGGAATTAGTGCTCTCCTGTTTAGTGTACTACGTACACTCCTGTTCTGTTTAGTGTACTTCGTACACTCCTGAAATATTTTTAGAGCACGAAGGTCCAGGTCTCTTCGGTGATCTCGTCCTTTCTGTTCAGCTAGCTTCTGTCAGGAATTGGTACGTGTAGCTCCGGCGATTACGTTTCCATATTCCTTCTGGGTAATGTGGGTACGGACTTCGATCGACCGTATTCCTTACCGTTAGTATTCCTCGGTCTAGGTCCAGATTGTAGAGTTCAAGGCTAAATGAATATGTATTTTTCAATGATAAGTTTCAGAATAAGAATTATCTGATAATTATGATATCTAAATATGCTTCTGTTCTGTACACAAGAAGAATATAAAAAAATTATCTCAGAATAAAATTATCTGACATTTATGATATCTGAGTATGATTCTATTCTGTATGTAAAAATATGTATTTTTATAACAGCTGCTCGGTTCACCCAGGTATTCTATTCTGAATTATGATATGTTAATATGTTCTTTGATATGTTAATATTATTGTTATGTTATTACCGTACCACTCAGCACATTGCTGAGCGGGTAGTTGTGTGTTTTCCTACCCGTAGGTTAAGCACGGAACCCGCTAGGAGCACAGGGATGGAAAGAGGCGTAGGACGCATTTGCATGCCATGTTATTTGGTGTTTTTTTAATAAAGGACTTTAATATGTCATATGTGATTTTAAGAACTTCCGTTGCACTCCTTGAAGTGTTTTATGATGTTTAAATTATGTCTGTTTTAATAACATTCAACTCCATATGAGTTTGACATTTTCTGGTATTTAGTAATGAAGTCGTTTTGGAATTAATACACTTTATTTTAAGTAATAAAATCTCTTATTAAATGTTTTGTGTTTAAAGTAAAAAAAAGGCATTAATTCTTTAACCACGAAAAGTATTTTTGATTAAATCCGTTCCGAATTTTCCGCCAAGTGACGCGCCACCCGGGTCAGCAGGGTCGGGCCGGGTGGGGCGTTACAAAGGGAGTTAGGTAGAAGGAAGTTAAATGATAATAAATGAGCCAACCACCCCTACCTTTAACAGGTTTAATAAAAATAGCCGAAAATCTGGCCAGAAGGACTACGGATGGTGAGGGGAAAATGGTTACGGACTAAATCTGGACAATTTGAGAGTGGGGGACTAAATGTGGAAGTGGTATAATAGTCATGAGACCAAAAGTGGATTTGTTTTCTAATTTTAGCAACTGGGTATCCAACTTCTACTTCAACCCCTTCATATTCGAAAAAGCATTGAACTTATGAGCATTGAACTTATGAGAAATTGTTGTTCAGTTTCATTTGCATGGGAGGGAAAATCAAAGGAGTCATAGCTCTGATGAAGGCATCCGACTCGTCGGAGCTTCGATGATTTTCAAATAGGTAGAGAGCCAAGAGTCGGATTTCCAATCGGAGAAGCCCATGAATGTTTCGTCAACTGATTTCGCGATTAAATGAAGCCCTAAAGGGGATGGCGAGCGAAACTCAAATGGAGAAAATGGTTGAAGTGAGATGATTATATTCATCAAATAAAAGGGAGGATGAGAAATCGATATCTGAGAAATGAAAATTTCGAAGGAGTTGTTGAGTATACGTGAGCCGTAGGTCTGCAAATTTAGATTGTGCGACTGATATGTTGGGCAGGAAAATGCACTTTCTCTAAAGTAGTGAAATTATGTAGGATGATTAAGTTTGATAATGGTATAGAATTACATACTAGAAGTGCACTTTCACAATGAAGAAAAAAATCGAATTTGTAACACTTGAGATTAATTTAAAAGGATTAATAGTACTACTTATACCAACAGAGGTGCATCTCTTTTTAAGGGAGCTCATCAACTAAGAACTTCAAAGTTAAGCGTGCATGCACGTGAGTAGTCTGCAGATGGGTACAGAATCATATACATTGGTATACAAATGAATACAAATATCATAGGATTTTCACATCGAGTCTTGCGGGGCCGGAGTGTTAGAGAATTATATACAAATGTCATCGGAATTTCATCAATTTTAATGCATTTTTAACATATTTAAAACCATCATGAATAATGAAGAAATCCATATCGACATAGGGAATACATTAAAATTTTATTTATAAAAAAGTTTTGATAACATTGAAATTGGTTGAATATGCCGATTCTCTTAAAATTGATGAAGTTTTTACAGGATAACCAGAATTAGATGAATCTATTAAATTACAAAGAAAATATTTAAAATATATTCCATTAGTCTCATGAAATTGTTTCATATGACTAACATTCATTTATATTTTTCTTACTCAATCACAATCATATATTTCCACTGTATTTTAACTTTTTAAAAATTCGATTCAAGTCAAATTGAGAAGAATTTTATTAATACACTAAAGAAAAATTCTATGAAAAATTGACATCTACAACAAATTTAGACAATTCAATTCTAAAAGTAAGTCTATTCATCAATCCTAAAAGTAAGTCTAACTCTATTTATGTTGCTCATTGGACCATTCAATACCTAAAATCAAAAGTTGATGACTACCTCACTAAATTTTAAAAATTCAAAGGTTTGGCTATAAAAAGTCAGAATGATTGTGACTGCAAAAAAAACAGAGCAGAACAGGTGATTCGGTAAGAACTTCCATAATTTCTAATCCCGAGCAATCCTTGCAGGCTTGTCAGCACGCTCTTCTTCTCCGCAGAGTAAGCGCCTCTTCGTTGAGGCAGTGTAGCGGTAGATGATGCTCTGAAGGGAATGCCTGATGGAAGGAGCATCATATTCTTCAATAAACCTCAAGTCAGATTCCCTCCACTTCGCGCCTGCAAAATGTTTGTACTCTTCCAACACAGAAGACAAACACCAGTTCTGCAACTTCCTCAGGCACCCCACCAGACACCCTGTCCGGTGCTTCCCGCGCTTGCAATGGATCAGCACCGGATGGTTTCTCACATCAATCAGGACTCTCAGAGCCTCAGTTATGGCGGTCCTGGATATGCCAGATGGGTCCTTGGTGCCTTCGATTCCAAATTGGAAAAGCTTTACATTGTTGAGGCGGAGAAACTCCCTGTTCTCTTCAGGGTAGGGCTCGGGACACAGATATATGATAGAGCGGAGATTTAGGGTTTGGAGAAACGGGAAATTGGAGGGCCGCGGGAGGCCGGATCTGTATATGCAGAGATCTTCCACCACTGAGAAGTTAGGCGGAGACGGCGGGAGGCCGGATCTGTAGATGGAGAGATCATTCAGCGCTGACAAGTTGGAAGGCGGCGGCGCAAGCACTCCACCGCCGGGTTCAGCCGCCTGTTTCCCGTCTCCTCCTCGCTCGAGAATCACGCACATCCTTCCTCCTCCGAATTTAGTTTCTTCTCTCCTATTCCTTCGGCGAAGCACTCGTTCTCTGGAATTAACTTCGAACTAATGCGGCTGCGCCGTCACGAATATGTAGACGCCGCTATCTTCAATTGCGAAGAAGATGAAGAAGCAGAGATATTCATTCTGGTTTAGAGGAATCGAGTCGAATAAATCCTTCCAATTGTATCGTGAGTAGGGTATTTATTTGATCGATTGATTAGAGGAATTAGAGTCCTTACAGGGGTCGGATTTTGATTTTATACCGGAACTTGGGGGTGTTTGACGGAAAAGAGCAGATTTTCTACCTTACATTCCAAAAAGTGCATTTTTTGGGGGGGTTTTCTGAGACAGTGCAAAACGGAGTTGGCAGGTCCGAAATAATGTTGTCAGTATTAAACTCAAAAAAGAACTTGCCATTTTCGGAGTTGGCAACTCCGAATTAGTAAAGTATTTTTTTTGTATTTTTTTTGTTGTCTTAATACGGATTGTTGGGGCTGCATTATCCAAATGTTGTGTTTATTTTTTTGTTTTGAAGTTTGTTTTATAATTGTTGTTATAAATCGTATTTTGTTCAACATAATTAAAAATCATACAATATTTGTATTTTAAGTTGAATTTGCGTCTGACTCCCGATTTAAATAAAAACATGCATTTTACAAAAATTTGACCCATAAAAATAATTTACCACACGTTTTACAAAAGTGACCCATTAAATGTTTTGAGCACAAATTGTAAAAAGTTTGTTACATTTACATTAACAAAATAATTTTTTGAACGTAATTCAAATTATAGAACCGTACCCATTAAATAATGTGAAACCGGAAAAGATGATTAAAAGTATCAATATGTTAATATATTTACAAGAACAAACTACATTGATTAAAAGTTTCAATATATTAAATTAATGTGACGATTTTTAAAAATAGTTGACCCATTCAGTGTTATGAACTCCAAAGTAAATACAAATACAGTTTACAATATAACACGTTTAATTTATAAGTGACCCATAAAGTCATACGAATTCAAAATTAAACAAAGTTCATTGCACAATAAGTCATATTAAAGGTACATATAAAACATATGGCTAATAAATATTTTACAACATTAAAACAAAGTACAAAAAAAGATTACATTATAAGAGTACAAATACGTACAAATCAATCATGTTGTCCTCTCCGTCTTGGACGCATATCCATCTCATTTGGAAATCTTGTTTCTTGACGGCGCCCAGCTCGAGAAGTTCTGGAAGAGTACTTAGGCGGTAGAAGAATGATCTCATTTTGTGGCCACTCATTCATATATAGAAATGGCATGATATCACTGGAATGTGCATTTATGTAAGAACTCAGTTTGTATACCTCAGGAACAAGATAATCAACATGACAATTTAGAAAATAGCACACAAAATGTGCATGGACGCATGGCATTCCGTTCATCCTCCAACAACCGCAGTCACAAACACGTCTGGATAGATTCACCGTAACAGGTGTTGCATTTTCTACGGAGACCGAGTAAATCCCTGTGTAATGGTTGTGTGGAAGAACCACAATGTGAGGTCTTTGTTGCCAACGCTCCATAAGCTCTTTCCGAATGTTGTCCGGAAAATGATATCCAGCTTGCTGCCACATCATACCAGCAGTACGACGTTTGGCGAAGAGCTGGACTAGTTTGTCAAAAGTCGCTCGCACAAGGGCACTGATTGGCAATGTCCTACATCCTTTGAGAGCATTGTTGAAACTTTCTGAAAGATTTGTCGTTAAAATACCATATCGACAACCATCATCAAAACAAAGTGCCCACTTTTCTTGGGGAATGTCATTTAAATACTTGAAAGCTCTCTCGTTAGTACCCCAAATTTGTTGCATGTACTGATGAAATTCACTTACAATTGGGGTACTTCTCGCTCGCCAACACAACTTCTTTAGTTGTTTACTTCTAAATTGGGTCATGAAATTGCTTCTAATGTGGCGAAGACAATAACGTCTCTGAATTTGAGGTGTTCCCAATTGCTCCACATTTCGAAATGCATAATCTATAGCCGCATGCCTATCGGAGATGATGCAAACATTTCGATCAGTGAGTATGATATGTGTCACAAGCAATTATTGTAAGAACCACTTCCAACTAGCATCATTCTCACTATCTACCACTCCAAATGCTAGAGGGTAGATTTCACGGTTGGCATTCATTGCCACCGCGACTAGGAGATGACCCTTGTACTTGCCATACAAGTGAGTTCCATCAATTGACACCACCGGAAGACAGTGATTGAAGCCGTCAATCGCCGCTTTTATTGACCAAAATGCAAATTTAAACACATATGTTCCTTGGGTGTTGGTGTTATCACTTTAAATATCAATTATGCTCCTTGGGTTAGTATACGCCATTGCTTGTAAGACATTTGGGAGATCGTTGTACGATGTCTCCCAATTGCCGAACCGTTGCTCCAATGCTAATATACGCGCATACCATGCTTTCTTATATCCAACATGAATGTTATACTTTTGGTGCATGTCATTCATTATTACCTTAATACTATAGTCTGGTTTTAAGCGAATCGTAGAACTTATTTCAGAAGCGATGAACTTACTTGTAAGCAGTTTGTCGATTTTGGCTCTTGTGTAAGTCGGAATGCAATTATGGTGGGGTTGATACTGCTTTACTTTCCAAGAGTCAGTGTCCTTCACTTGTGCTGCTTGAATGTGCCACGAACATTGCTCTGGATGGACGCATTTGGCCCTCCAGTATGTAGGACGTTTTGACACATTCTCAAATGCTCGGTACTCTTTCAAGGTTTGAATATAGAATGCTTTTTTGAGTTCGTCAAACGAAGCATATATCCTTCCCACATGTATTGGATCTTCCACACGGTAGGCGGGTTCAACAAACGGATCCTCTTGGTTGTGTGGCACAGCCCAAGACGAGTCATGACTATCATCACTATCATCAGAAGCGCTCTCCTCTTCCGAAAATGACAGATTGTTGTAGTCAGGGTCACCTTCATCCTCCACGGCCTCATGTGAGGGATCCATATGAACCATTGAAGGACCTTGATTTAATGTAGATGGCACCGGGTTGCGCCGCTGCCTAGAAGGGCCTTCGTGCAATGGAATAACCACATCCCTATTGGTTGCATCAATGAATACCTCCAAACGATCATATACGCTCGAAACTATTTGGACAAAATAGATCCACGACGGCTCATCATGTATGGGCCACGGCATAGATGCACACACACCATCGCTAGTATCAAAAGGAAATTTTCCGTGAATGGTTTTAATTTCATTTAAACCATCACGAGAAATCTGAGAAAGTACATTCTCACACAATGTTGAGTAGCTAACATCGGCGTTTAAAAAAAGCACCGCATTCGGAAATGAAGAGTATTTGACTTCGTTGTCAACATTGGTCAATACCCCATTCCAATGAACGAGAACTATTATGTTCTGCTCACTTGACATTTTTATTTGTGGTGGAAGTGAAAGAAATTATATATTTACCAATACAACTTATGAATTTCTTAAATATTTTATATATTTTTTAACAACTAATACGTAGTATTGCGTATTTTCTATTCACCTACTTTTATAGAAATATTAAACCTTTTTGTACAATTATTAATACTAATATAATAATAAAAAAAGATTACTTCACTTATTGCCTACGTACAATTTACTTCGTAATATCACCGAGTGCGTATTCCGAGATATTTTATCTGATCGGGAATATTTATATCTGATAAAGTGTATTTTTTAATCTGACCGGAGACATTATTGGGGTGGTTGGAAATAATGAGGTTAGTTGTGGAGTGATGGGTGCCTATTCCGAGATATTTTATCTGTCCGGGAATATATTTATCTGATAAAGTGTATTTTTTATCTGACACGAGACATTATTGGGGTGGTTGGAAATAATGAGGTTAGGTGTGGAGTGGATGAGTGCGTATTCCGAGATATTTTATCTGACCGGGAATATTTTTATCTGATAAAGTGTATTTTTTTTATCTGACACGAGACGTAGTATGTCATTTTTTCTATTCACCTACTTTTATAGAAATATTAAACCTTTTTTCTACAATTATTACTACTAATATAATAATAAAAAAAGATTACTACACTTATTACCTACGTAAAATACTAAAATTTACTCCGTAATATTTCAAGTCATAAATAAATATATGCACACATTAATAATACAAATTGTATCTAATTATAAATAATAATAATAATAATAATAATAATAATAATAATAATAATAATAATAATAATAATAATAATAATACTAATAATAATATTATTAATAATACTAATAATAATAATAATAATAATAACAATAATGAATAAGGAGGAGGAGGAGGAGGAGGAATAAGTCACTAACCTTTCAATAGAGGGGTTGAGAGGAGGGTCGAAGGAGGACTCAGTTGAAGGTATGGGAGAATGGAGGTAGGGAAGGTCAATTTATAAACACAAAACTATCCTCCGATTTGTAGCCAACCAATCACGAAGCCGGAAATCTCATCCTCTGGATTCGGAGCTGCCAAATCCGAAATAGAGAAAGCTGACCACTCTGTTTTCGGAGTTGAGAAATCCGAAAATAAGAAAGCTGATTTTGGGCACTTTTCAATTTCGGAGTACCCAACTCCGTTTTGGCTTTTTTTGTCAAAAAAATCGGATCTACCCTATTTAGAAACACCTGATAGAAATATGTTCTGTTTCGTCATTTCTTCGGAACTTGGCTTCTATAATTCCTCATCATTCTACAATCATTGGGTATTTGGTCAATTTTCTTTATAAAATTTTGTTACATTTCACGTGATTGAAAAGGTAATAATTTAATTCCCTCCATCCCAATTTGATGATCTCATTTCTTTTGAGCTCAAAGATTAAGGAAGTGGTTGAAAAGGTAAAAGTTGTGGTTGAGATTTGAGTAGAAAAAGGTGAAATGATGTGGACCACATATTTCTTTCCAAAAAGGGAAATGAAACTATCAATTTGAGACAGCCCAGAAAGGAAATACGGGATCATCAAATTGGGACGGAGGGAGTAGTTGATGTTCGAGTATAATAAATTGAAATGATGTAAGTCACATATTTTTTTCAATAATGAAAGGAAACACTTATTTTGAAATAATACAAAAAGGAAAGTATGTGGGCGATGGGGATAGGGGTGGTTGTCTAGAAAATATGTGGGCGATGGAGGTGGTTGCATGGCAAATTATATGGACTATGGTATACTCGATTATACCATGCATAAGCTACAAGCAATAAATTAACTCATATCTTTTTTTTTGTTTAGTTTTTTACTCCGGGGCACTGGGGGCCTGGAATAATCAGGGTTAAAACTCAATTCAACTTATATCTGATGAATACATAATTGAAATAAAATGCGTATTGGTATTAAAAGGAAAATAATAGGGATAATGTAAAAGCTGTAGTGGATTATGTTTAAATGAAAAAGTAGGAAAGAGAATGAAAATGTAGGAAAGATAATGAGGGTTAAATGAGTATATTGAGTGAAAAAGCTATCCAAAAATGGAAAGAGACAAATATTAGAAAACAACCAAAAATGGAAAGAGGGACAAGTATTAGAGAACAATATTTGGGTCACGCCCCGGACCACATCCAGGCGCGTGTACAACTGCCGTATGACTAAATGACGTCACTCGCAAGTCAACGTGACTTAATCATACAAGGCGTCCATGAAAATTGTTCATACCATACTCAGTAAGTAAACATACATAACAACATCACATACTTGGATTGAACGAATCGCGGAAATATTCAATATTCAATCATGGGCCACATATGGCCAAAACGTGGGCTCGCAGGCCCAAAACAAATGTATTTATTACAAAATATCCTTGAGCATAGTTTATAGTTTAAAACAGTAAAGGAAGCACGAACCACGTCTCCCTTTAGATCACTTCACCGAGCAAGGTGAGAATAGCAAGCCTGAGCTTCAACCTGAAATGGTGGGCCCCCCCGAAGGGGTCAGTACAAGTACCGAGCGAGTAGCAGGCTAAATGTAGAATAACTAACGTTTCAAGTACAAGACCCAAACATAGGGTGATACATACAAATATAGTTCTTTCCCCAAGTTACAAAATACATGTCAATATATATACACTTGGAAATACCCGACCCGTAGGTCATTGTTTATTTGGGAAAATAGTATAGTCAATATCCTTGACTTAAACCCCAACCCACCCATATACCTATGAGTGTATAGAACTCCTCCTGGTTCAAATCATCTTAACTTGAGGACACAGCCCGGTCCTAAATTATAAAATAATAATCTATGAGTTTTGAGGATACACGCCCGATCCTTGGGTACTCCACCCTATATTACCGAGTTTTGAGGATACACGCCCGATCCTTGGGTACTCCACCCTATATAACCGAGTTTTGAGGATACACGCCCGATCCTTGGGTACTCCACCCTAATACCGAGTTTTGAGGATACACGCCCGATCCTTGGGTATTCCACCCTATTACCGAGTTTTGAGGATACACGCCCGATCCTTGGGTATTCCACCCTAATACCGAGTTTTGAGGATACACGCCCGATCCTTGGGTACTCCACCCGACTTATGATCTACCACATATCATTCTAGATAATGTCTATATCATAATCAATAATCAAGACTAAACCAAGTCTTAAGGCCTAAGCATAATCATCCATGCAATTCATGCATTAAAAATCAACATATAGGCAAAACAGTGCCAAACCGGCGCCGGTTTTGACATAACCGGCGCCGGTTATTAATTAAATTAATTAAACCGGCCATGCCGACCCATAACCGGCGCCGGTTTTGCCTATAACCGGCGCTGGTTACCCCCTGGGCAACCTAGTCAACATTTTCGTTGACTCGCCATTTCAAACCCGATTCGTGTCAAACTTAATCCCAACATGTATTAAGTTATAACCAAGCATTTTGTGCCCCTTTTATCCCTTAAAACATCATATATGTTTTTATAAACATTTTCATATCATTTATGATATCAATGGGTCATACATATAAGCCTAATCACTTCGGATAATCACATGTTTAAGCATCTTTTAAACATCATTATGAACACATATAACATTTACTTAGGTAATCTCATAATTAACCCAAGAGTTATAAGACATTAAGCTGTCCACTCACCTCAAATGAGCGTGATGAAGTTCTACCCTTCTCGGTTGAACTCCGGCCAAACTCCGGCAAACTTTGACGAACTCCGGCGATAACTCCGGCGACTCTTTAAACTTTGTGAAAGCTTTTAAATCACCTTTGACAAGTGCCTAACAAGGTTTTATCAGCACAAAACCCATATCAATACAAATAACCTTTAAAAGGTTATTTTCCGGCGAACCGATCTCTTTGGCCTCTAAGTCCGTTCTTGGACTTAGAACCACCTTTCAACCCACCCTTCTACATAAGTAAATATGTAGAACCATAAAAAGGGTTCCTCATATGCCATATAAGTCATATGAGCATCAAATGAAAGGAGGATAGTTGTTATAAGGTTGTTACCTTAATCCTTCACCCTTTTCTTCACCTTCCTTCACTCCAAGCACCTCCCTTGCTTGAGCTCGTTTTTTGGAGATGGTGGTGGGTGTTTTGCAGCTCTCTCTCTCTCACTCTTGGTGTGTCTTGGCCGAAGTGATGGTGTGGGGGTGAGGGGAAATTACCTCATTTGGCTTATTCTACAATGAGGGTGAGGGAATAGGCCCTCTCATGTCTCCTCTTGATGCCTATCAACTCAAAGCCCCTCCTACTAACTTTCCATCCTCATTCATACGGATCCCCTTAGTCCTTTGTGGTCTAATTTCGTGGGTTGGCCCCCACTCATGTGGGAGGTCAACCCTTTTTGTCCAAAAGTGTACAATCGGCCCCGAAAGTTGTATTCCCCAGACTGTTTTAATTATACTTTATTTTATCGGGTCAAATAAACGATAACACTTACTTCCCATCATAATGGGCCTTTGGGATGATTATACATTTCCCAACTTTAATTTGGAAGTCCCCAAAATTCATTTCGGACTGTTATCCGATAAATTACCCAAAATCGGTAATTGGGCCTCGTTTGACCAATCGGTCAACCCAATGCCTTTCTTATGGCCCAAAATGAATGTCCACCACCATATAACTATTATCTATACCAAGATGAATAAAATATGCGGTCTCGGGAATATCGGGTGACCCCCGCTCCCGGTGTGGGCCCCACGTGCAATTTGCTATTCACGCAAAAGAATTAACAAAAATTTACAACCTCGTAAATTTATTAACCATTTCATAAGGTTCAATAAATAATTACATAAAAGTAAATATGCTTGGGGACGATGTTACAATTTGTTATTTGTATTGTGCATTATAATACAATTTGAGATAATTTTATTTGTGAAATACATATCAGAAAATACTCCGTATCATTTATTCTCAGTTAGAGAGGTCTGAAGTTGTGATTTTCTTAATTAGTTACAAATGCTTAAGAACAAAAAAAAAATGAAACAAAAACCCTCGAAACCAAGTTAGTATAAATAGGACTTGTTGAATTCTTTAAATCCAATAATAAAATTGTAAAATTCAGGAAATGACAAATGTGAATTGTTCATCCTTATCAACAGGACACCAAATTGTTCATCCTTGTAATCTGGCTACTCATCAAATTCTAATCCAACCGTATGATTAGATTCCAATTCCGAGCAAAACTTAAAAAAATGAATTTTCGAACAATAGGATATTTCTGAAAATTTTGGGAAAACTACCAACGGTATAACCCGACTCTGATGAAACAATTCTTCTAATTGGTTGTGTTGTGAAAGGTGAGCTAATACATGATGACAAAAAAAGCGTTATAAACTTCTTTATAGGACCAAAGCTAGATAAGAGGAATGTGCGAGAAAGTTTTAAGAAAGCTTCAATAGAGGATATAAAGAACGTGATTAGTGTGAGCAACACAGCAAGCTGTATAACGTAAAGCAATATCTTCCCATAATTTGTATTCTTCGGCATAAATACTCAACATTTCAACTACTCATCTCTGCCATTCACTTATTTGAGATTTTGAGGTGTCTTAGTTCTACCATAAATATAATATATTAATTTTTCTTTCATTCGGTATTCGACTAGTTAAAAGTATGAATGCGTTTGTGTTCAAGGACAAATTAAAGCCTCGGTGATGACCGGAAGCCAAGTCCACTCATCATTCGAATAATCGAATTGGTCTAGTTCAGGTGATCGTTTTTGTATAGCAATATAATGAATATATGATAGAAAAATAGCACCAATCACAAATTTGTTGCATTGTAAGGAAATGAAAAAAAAATTGGGAGCAACTAAATAGTGAAAGCTGACTAAACTTAATAGGATAGTGGGAATGTTGTTACCCTTTGTTCCTATATAGTCTATGTTTGGCAGGTATGAGTGCTCACCTTGTAACTTGTGTATTATTTAAAAAGTCTAAAAAATTCTAGTTGTATGTTTGACATGACAACTTATAAGATTTTAAAAAAAATTAAAGATATTTTTTGAGATGCCAAAGTGAGTAACATCTAAGAAAAATACGTAGCTTTTAACATTAATTAGTCCCAACTGCTTGTATCCCAAACATAACCAATTCAAACAGTCAGCTTTTATGAAACAGCTACCGCAATTTACTTTTAAGATCTTTTCGGTCACTAAAAGTTAACAGTAACCAAAAAGTCTATAAAAGTATCTTTTCAGCTAATTGTGTTAAACATACTCATAAACTACTTGGTTACAATTACATGGTTAACACATAGTTTTTAATCTCTTACTTTATATATTCCACTTTTATCAAATTTGGTTTTTACTTTTGCGACTTTGTAAAACTTTTAATATACTTTATGAATATGTAAATTTTATTTGCTGCGAATAATCAGAATATTCATATGGACTGAATTGCTTTATCGTCAATTAAACTTCGTAAACTGTAATGACTGTTTTAAATATGAACTGATGGAATATATATCTCACTCCTAATGCCGCCAATTAAGTTCTCTTTTAGTTTTAAATGTTATAAGGAGTAGTACTAATGTTTGTTATATTCAAAGCCTATGTAACTATTTAGTACCAAGTAACATTTTTTGTTGTATTTTATAAATATGTAAATTAATTACAAGCAATAGCAAACGAAATGTTTGATGAGGCTTAAATCTTAAGGGTGACTTACCCCATTTATACTTGCCACTTACTAGGTTTCACAATTTCACTAATGACATGCATTATGCAGCATCAATGAAAAATCAGAACCAAAAAAAATATGTTAAGACTTACAGTAATGAGGCAGTAAACCACTGGATGCGTACCAACTACCAATTATTTAAATGAATCACTAAACAAACATAAGAAAGCTATTGACCAATTGGCCATGCCATAATCATCAACTAACAAACTAATAAAGCAGGGCATGCAGGCCTCTCTACATCCAGCTCTAAATTAGCTCTGCTCCTCCTTATCTATCTCTTGTTCTTCTTCAAAACTCAGAAACAGGCATCTAAGAGGCAGCAACAACAGAGTGCAGCCAAACTACAAAAGTGCATTTTATAATGGACAATTTAGTAACGATTATATTTTTTTATTTTTTATTTAGGTTAGTAATAATGATTATATATGTTACATTGGTTATAATGATTAATGAGATTGGTTATAGTTCATTAATTCAGGAGCTAAGAAGTCTAAAGTCTAAACACAACGAAAAAATCAACGAAAAAGCGGTGAAAACCAAAAGGTTGCAAGTTGGGATGAGAAATGTTATTCTCATAGAATCAAAAACTCCATAGAATAAGGTTTTTCACTTGATTGCTTTTTTCTTGTTGTCCCAAAATAAGGTTGCATTCTTCTTAGGGCAAAAAATTGTGGCTCCAAAAATGGCCATCCATTCCACAAATAAACTATGACTCCAAATTTAGAATATTTCAATACCAAATTCTTATGAGTCTTATATTCACAATGAAAGAGGGTCTTTTATACAGATCTAGAGATCAAATGGACAAGTGTATACTATCTACATACCCCTAGCCCTGGCCAATCTTTAGTGCAACAATATCTTAATGGCATGTGATGATATCAATGGCCTCACAAACATATGAATAGTGGTGGTGCCTCATGTTAGAAGAAGCAAAACTTGGAAAAAGTCTCCCGGGAGGCCAAAGTTTCATATTTCAACATACTTTTTAATAATTTATCAGTATTTGTACTTTGTTCACTACACTGGGAAAATCTGTGGGTGAAGCCATTGCCCCTCCCAACCATTCCTTTCGTTTCGTGCCTCTGCCATCGTACCGTTTTATACAATGTTCAACAGAGTCAACCGAGAAAGTCAATTAATTAACCATGAACACATTTTAAATAGAGCAAAGACATGTACACATTTTCGTGTTACATTCATGTGCAGGGGTGGAGACAGGGAGGGGCTGGAGGTGGCCACGGCCCCTGCAGGAAAAAAAATTCTTAAGTATATATTATGTATAAATACTTTTAATCTATAGAAAGTATGTTGATATTTTAAACTTTGGCCCCTTCAATGTGGAATTGTTAAGGACTGGCCCCTGTAACCCTAAATGTCTGGCTCCGCCACTGTTCATGTGTGACATACATCTATTGGAAAGTGAAAAGTTAACCAACTTTTCATCATTTAATAAATGCATGGAGCACAAGAATTTACCAAAATAATATACTACATAGAAAACAAGAGCTTTTGCCACATCTAGTCATTTGGCCACTATGTCAGTGACACTTTTGATATAAAACTTCGAATTTTTCCACTTTGAATCCTTCAACTATTTTCCTAAAGACACTTTTGATGCTCATATTAAAAAAATCATATTTAGTCCTTCGAGTTTCATAAAAATGACGTTTTTGTCCTTCAATTATTATAATAATAGCATTTTGAGCCTTCCACTTATTGTGTCAAAATCATAGTGAAAAGATTAAAACTGCCAATTTGATAATACACAACGGACTAATATAGATATGAAACTTTAAAGTTGAGTACTAAATAGTCAAAGACTAAAACTGAAAATGTACCAAAAAATGTCACTAACACAATGTCACAATATACTACGGAGTATTTATTTCTCACGCACAAAGTTGCTAATTAAATAGCCAAATAGGCATGTCTCCCTATAGGTCCTTCGTATAATCAAAACAACAAAGCATGAAATCAACTTTGTGCCACAAGGGTTAGGTCTCGGGTTCGAATCCCGGCAACTGCGATGAGGGGTTACTATGCTGAAAAATGCATAGGGCCTCTGTAAGTACCGGGGACAGAGCCCCACTCTCTATCTGTCAGATTGTGATTATAGTCCAATTTACATCCTCCCATCGTGCCGTCCGGTCGGTGTTGGGGGGCCCTCAGGGATGGGGTGTCATCCTTTTTTCATCCAAAAAAAAATGAATATTTAACGGTTACTAGCGGTGGGACATACCATCCTTCCAAACAACCAGAGTTGTTGGCTTGTTGCTGTGGTGGAGGTGGAGGCGGAGCAGCGTACTGTGGAACATACTGTGGTGCGTACCCTTGGGGAGGGTACCCCTGAGGAGGGTACACTTGGGGAGGGTACCCTTGTGGGGGATACCCTTGCTGTGGGTACCCTTGTGGGGGTGGGTAGCCAGGTGTTGCATCTTTGTTGTAAGCAGCATCTTGCTGGGAATAACCTATATAAATGTATTGAATTAGATCCGTAAATTAAATAATTAAACAAAAAAATTCAAGAAGTAATTCTTGATTAATTATCTGATAAGATGAAAACTTATACGTCTGGAATGGAAATTCATAATGGGAGAAAAAAATTATTTATACCTTGAGGAGGAGGAACCCCAACAGGTGGTGGTTGTTGGCCCTGATTATAGTAGCTCATTATATTTTATTGTGCGACGAATCCAAGGAATATAATGGATTGTGTAGATGGAGATCGAATTGGCACTGCGATTAGCTTCAAGATCAGATCCGATTGAAGTAGTACGTGTATATCATATCTATACTCATCTCCAAAATCAACTTCTCATATACCGAGTATTAACTTAAGACCTATGCATAATTTTGTTGTAATTATCCTTATTATCAGTTTCTCCTTATTTTATAGTCCTTCCATTTCGAATTGATTTACAAAATCAAGTTTTTGAATCAAATATCATTTTATTCACCGAATTAGAATGTTAATTTGTAATTATATTTCATTTAAATTTTACAACTTTATAGAAATTTTAATGTAATTTAAGAATCTAAATTTTAATTATAAGAATATTAAGGATAAAAAATTAATGTTTACTCCTATTCGTGGGAGATTAGGAATGAACTCCTATTTAGTACGTAGTAATTGGATTCTCTGGTGTTCGATTCTCATTAATTAATATTCTGGAGGGAACAATAATAAAAAAAATTGATGGAAAAGATCAAAATAAACTTATATTAAAAGATCATTAGCCAAATAACTTATAATATAACTCGGCGGATTTAAATAACTAATTTCACTACTAGACGTAGTAACAGCAGCTCTCGCAATAGCATGAGCGACCTGATTTGCTAACCGCCCGCACCAACGAATTTTGATGTTCTCGTTCTCACTCATCAAATATTTTATATCGACGTAGACTAAGGGGGTGTTTGGATCTGATTCTTAAAACTGATTCTGCTTCCTGAAAGAGCAGAATCAGAAGCTGGAGTGTTTGGCTGAAAGTGCAGAAGTGATTCTGATGCTCTAATTTTCTGGGAGTGACCAGCTTCTGAAAACTGATTTTGATTCTGCTTCTTCTTTAAAGAAGAAGCAGAATCAGAATCACTTTCAAACATCCCATAGACCCACTGGGGATACATCTGAATCTTCATGCATACCTGACACAATCAAAAGTCGCATGAGTCTCAACCACTACTTTATTCCACCCCATCTCTTTAACTCACAGGATCGCATTGCTAACCCCAATCGCCTCCGCTTCCACGGGGAATCACAAAAACCTTTTTAACCCGACTCTTGGCACATAGAAAAGTCAAAAGTGCCCCGGCAATCCCTTCCGACACAGCCCCAAGCCCAGAGCCCAAACAATCAATTTTATGCACAAAAAAACGTCACATGCGCTATGGTTCGTAGTAATTACAATCGGATCAAGAGATGATGAGATGTCTATAAAAAAAAAACAATACCGTAAAGGGGTTTTGTTTCTTTAGATGTATTTTGGACTATTTTTCAATCTAAAATGAAGCCACACAAGCTAGAAGTCAACAACCTGATTAACACATATAAGCTCAGATCACACTGCACCAGACTTAAATAATTATAAAATACATACGGAGTATATTTTAAATCAGACATCTATCAAATTAAATCAAACCCGTTTAGATAGCGTATTACGTAGTATTCCGAATAACACAAAATTCAAATCCAATAAAAAAACATCCAAGCCTTCACAAAAATACAAATATATTAAAAGCGTTTACTGCGATAGTGCATGGCTCCAAAAAAAAAGTGTCATAATAGGCATGCCCGCCTAGGCGCCCATTATTTATTGATTCCAAAGTGGGCATTAATGGGTCTCCATCCCTCTTCTTGACTAACACATATATATGCGTGATGTGCCTGACCATACCTTATTTGACCCTTTTTCATCCCATATCTCCTTACAATTACGGCCAAGGATTGCTTACTAAACAAAAAGGTTTGATTGTTGGGATAATTCATAATTGAACCAAATGCCAGTTTAATAATTATAGAATAGAGATAGACAAACGTCTACCAGTTCATACCAGTTTAATCAATCCTAAGCAAATCAAACTAACTAGGCTTAATTAGAAAATTTCAATTAAAGTACAAACATCTTCAATCGTACATGGACAACGCAAAGAACTAAATCTTGCTAGGATTGTAAGTTTATAATTAACATTTAGTGAGTGGGCAAAATTTGCTAAAAATCAGTAAATTAACTTGATTTATTAAGGACATGTTAATGTTTCCTCTTGAATTCATATTGGATCGGACTTAACTTAAATAAATGGGGAAATTTCGATTACCCTTCTAGTTTGATCATACTTATTAGTTCAATCTTACATTCTTAAAAGTCAAATATTTACCCCTCAGCTACGATTACTTTTGTAATTACTTTTGTAATGTCCCTCTTCTGTCAACATTTTCGCCAAATACCCATTTCTTTGACTAAAATACCTTGTTTAGGATTTATTTGTTAAATCCCCTCATCTATCTATCTTTCTTTAAATACATAGCCGAGTCAAATATAGGTTTAGAGAATATTGACTGTTTTGTTTGAGGGAGTACTTTATGTCCAATTGTTTCAAATTTTTAGAATAAAAGTGAATAACATATTTTTTTCTGAGAGGCATTCTGCACTAGTTTGAGTGATGAACAAATACCAATTGAATCACAACAAAATGCATAAAACTTGAGCGGTATTTCAACTCCAGATCATCTTATACTATGAAGAGACAAAGAGTATCAAGTTCCTTTGTAAACTTTCCAGGATGCCCCTTTGAGAAATAAGCAAACAATTCGTATACTTGAGGGAATCAATAAAAGCATACTTTAATTCGTATTATCAAAAAATAAAAAAAAACTACTCCGTAATATTTTTTAGGGAAATTAAAAGTCTTTATAAAGGAAATATTTTTTCCTGCTTCTGTCCTCTAGATGAAATCATTTAGTGGGAAAACAAGAAGTATTTAATTGATCAAATGAGTCATATCAAAACCTCCACTCCCTTGAGGAAATATCCTGCCCTAAACCAAAGCCAATTTGAGAACATATCTGCTACACAGTTCTAAACCACTTTCTCTTTGAACTAGGGTTCTTCAATTTTCGTAGGAATAGGACTGTGACTGGGAATTGAAATTGGAACAAAAAAGAAGAAAGGTGGATAGGCATAGAACACTATTTCAAGTGTGCCTCAACGATGTAAGGGAACCCCCCCCCCCCCCCCCCCCACACACACACACACATATTTCATATATATATTCTTGGTTGGAATACTTTTGGAGTAAGCCTTGGAAACTTTCCGTTGATGTACTCTTATTTTATACTACTCTGTAGTTTGGTTTAATAGATAGGGACATATTTGGAAATTCCACTAACAGTTAACCGTCTAGACAGCTTAAATTTAATGGAAAGGGATATTCTAACTTTTATAAAAGCTTAACGTAAATAATTCAGTTCTAATTATGACCTAACCTCGAGGGGATAATCATAATTTTCCCTAAATAAATTTGACTACCTCCATTTGGGGTTTAATGCACCAAATCCCCTCGTGATATAAAAATTCGGCGCATTAGCCCCCTGTCATTTGAAAAATGCGTCAAATCCCCTTGTGTTTTAATTAATCATGCATAGAACCCCTTTTATGAATAAATTTAACGATTTGGAAATCACTTTTCCTAATATTTTGATTGAATATGCAAGTAAATATGTCAAAATCTGTAAATCATATAAAATGTTGATCATTTTTCTTTTATTTGACAATTGATTTTATTCATAAAAGGGGTTTTGTGCATGATTAATTAAAACACAAGGGGGTTTCATGCAGTTTTCAAATCACATGGGACTAATGCGTCGAATTTTCAAATCATAGGGGGGTTTGGTGCATTAAACCCCCTCCATTTGACTTAATATTTTTGTTTCAATTCAAAACGACATGATTATTTAAGTAGTACTCCTAATTAGTAATAAAAAATCTATAGACAAAAATTGGGAAAAGGTGCAAATAGGCCCATGTACTGACCAAAAAAGGTCAAATAAGCCCTTATTTAGGAGGCCCTGTCCGACCGTCGCCAATTGGGGTGGTTCCCGTCGAAATTTTATGATGAAATTTTTTGAGCATCTTATTCAATAAGTCTAGTTTACTCATACCAAATTTCAGCTAAAACTTCAATGGGGAAGACATTCAAATGAATTCTTGAAAATAACTGCGCAGTTAGAATCGTAGTTATCTTCAAGAATTCATTTGAATGCCTTCCCGATTGAAGTTTTAGCTGAAATTTGGTATGAGTAAACTAGACCTGATGAGTAAGATGCTCAAAAAATTTCATCAAAAAAATCCACCAGGAACCACTCCAAATGACGACGGCAGGACAGAACCTCCTAAATAAGGGCTTATTTGACCTTTTTTGATTAGTACATGGGCCTATTTGCACCTTTTCCCACAAAAAATTGACTACAAGTTATTATGAGTAAGTTTTATTGTCATTATGATATAACATTTGAATACAATTACAGTAACTGAAGTTACTAGAGTCACATTTTTGTATATTAATTTTATTTTTGTTATATGTTTGGTGAATTAAATTCTAGTTTTTATTATGAATATACAGAGTTTTTATAAATTACAGAGGCGGAGGTACTTATTAGCTTAAGGAGTTAAAGGAGCCATGGCCCCTCCCACTTTTTTATTTTTTAAAAAATCATTTGGGCACCTCCCAAAAATTTATGAAGGCAATTCAGTAGGCAAGCTGTAATTCTCTATATTTTAAATTTTATATTTGAGAGATTTGTAATTTATTCTTGTAACTTATGATTATACCCATTATTAATCCCGTAACTTTACTCGCATGCTGATTAGGTCTTCTAATCAATAGATCTTTGCAATTTAAATATTTTTGCATTATAAAGTACACTTTATGGGAAACATTCGACATTGGCGACATAGTTTGTGGTTAATTATCTGTTTGAAAGTGTACTTTTGTGTGGGGAAGTACTTATATTGCAAAAAATTATTAAATACATCACCAAATAATGAGCAAGTGAAGCATCAGAATTAAAAATGGGCACAAAGTAAATTTATTGAACCAAAATTGCAATACTTGTATTATATCCCGTAGGATGAAGTATATGTATTACTTTCAATACTTTTATGTCAACTCTTATTGGTGCATGGCACCGCCACCTTTTTTGTCCGTAGCAATCATTATAAGCAAACAAGTAATGTGTTTGAGAGAGGTGGGCGCATATTGCGTAACCATATTTGCACATTTTGCATACATTTATACGTGATCACCTATGCACACGGACAATAGCGCATGAGTTGTGTACACGGACCATTAGGAGTGTACACATTGTTTGCAAACACAAATAATTATGAATAATGTGTGCGAAATGCATATAAATTTCGTAAATGAATAACTTTTTTTTTATGTGGGTACCACTATTTCTGAATTGGGGTAATTTCTTAGACTACGGGAGTCTTGAGCCGACATAGCAAATTTACGGGACTTTTTGATCACTTTCTAAGAATACGGGAAATAGTAGTACATAGCCGATGTGTCAGAGGTCTGAACAGAAAGTGGGGTTTCTCTACTCGGATTTGCAAACTTCACAATTTATTGCTTTGGGATTTCACTATGGGCAACTCCAACAAGCACCAATTTCTACACCAAAATGGTGTATTTGCCAAAAAAAATGCTTCAATAGCAACACCATCTTTAACACCATTTCACCATTTTGGTGGAGAGCCTTTGGCTTTACGCCATATATGGTGTACACCAAATCCAACACCATCTTCTTTTTCTATTTTTTATTTATTTCAAATGTGACCCAAAGTTTTGATTATTATAGTTTTGACCCATTTTTAAAACAACAAATTAGGATGTTTTTACTTGGACTGAAATTTGTTGGTCTGGTCTGGTCTGATTTGGTCTGGTCTGATCTGAACTGATGTGGTCTGGTTTGATTTCTTTGGATTTTTATAACTATCTAAGTCTAGTCTAATCCGGTCTGATCTAATCTGAGACAAATTACAGTCCAAATAAAAACATCTGTATAGAACAACAAATTAAAATTATTAATTTGATACAAAATAACAAAAATATAATAACATTTGTGAAATGTGTGAAAATACGTATTAAAATGATGTATTTTAATTAGTGAAATGCGTGAAAATACATATTAAAATGATGTATTTTAGTTTGTACGTAGTATGTGTGAAATAATGTGTGAAATATCAAAATATTAAATGAGAGGCTAATGTATAAATATATGATAGTTAGATACTTAAATTGAAGAATGGTAAAAATTAAAGTTAGTAAAAAGAATAAAAAGAGAATATTCTTTTTTGGTGATGAAAATGGTGTAAACTGTTGGAGATAAAATACTGTTTGATGTGATGTTTACACCATTTTAGTGTAAAAAATGGTGTTACCTGTTGGAGATGGCCTAATCCCACTTTATTGCTGCTATTTCAAAAGGCGTACCGGAGAGTTAGGAAATACTTCGTAATACGGAGTAATAAATATATTACTCCGTATTATTATTATAACAAAAATTATATTACCTTCGTCCCGCAATTAACTTCCTACTTTGACCTACACACATATTTAGAAAATAAATTTGACTTTACTATGGAGTGCACTGTTTTGCACTGTTTAAACATTGTTTGACACTGTTGTGCACTGTTTGGACACTGTTTGACACTGTTTTGATGTAGAGAATCTGCCAAATAAGGAAAGTTTTAAAGTGTGAAGTTAATTTTGGGACTGCCCAAAAAGGAAAGAGAGAAGTTGTTTACGGGACGGAGGGAGTAACAAAAATAATAATGTAAATAACAACAACAACAACAACAACAACAACAATAATAATAATAAAAGATTCCCCCCCAAAAAAATATGACTAAAATAAAATTTAATTATATAAATATGACTAATAGTTATTACAGTGTATTATCATGGTAATTTGAGTCTAAAAATCGAACATAAGTTATCATGATTTCATTGCTATTCTAGTCAGATCACGAGTCACATTTTAGTAAACAATCTTTAATTTAGTCTTAAGTATGTAAATAATTCCAATAATTCAAGTTGGGTTTTCAGTTTAGATTTTTTTAACAACTTACGATCCACCGAAATATATAAAAAATGAATACAATATTAAAAATAATAAAAAGACCACACAAGTAGAGATCTTTTAATAACAATGAAACTGATTGAATGAGATACTTCAATTGAAATTTATGAAATTCTGTCCGATTTAGCTGGAATAGCTTACGGTGACTTATGAAAAAATTATATTTAAAATATTTTTATTGATAATATAAAGAAAAATAGTTGGAATTGCCTTTTACAATATATTCAGTCAATTCAAAGAAGGTGGTATTTAAGAGAGTTAATTGTTTCTTAAAATAGAAATGTGAATTTTAATATGAGATGTCTAAAAAATGAAAGTGAAAGCCTTAAGTGTTGGGAAAAGGAGTAATTACACTTCATAATATAAAGTGTTATATTGTCTTTATAATTTATGTTGGTTTTCTTTTTAATCTATCACCAATGATAACAACCCTACTTGACATGGAAATAACCTGGCTCATAGATTGTCTCTAATTGTTTCTCATGTTATTCAAAAAGTATTTTATTTTATTTTTGGTAAGGTTTTTATTACCTTCGTCCCAATTCGATGTTCTCAGTTCCTATTCACTTGGTCAACAAAAATCACTTTTAATATCTTACTTTATATATCAAACTTTTATCAAATTTGGTTCTGGTTTTTGCGACATTGTAAAACTTTTAATGTAGTTTATGAATTTGTAATATTTTTTCCCTAAAAATAATTTGAGTGCGGACATGGACTCGTTTGCTTTATCATCAATCAAGCATCGTAAAGCGCAACAGGAACATCAAACTGGGACGGAAGGAGTAATGTATATTTTTAAAATGTGAATACATTATTTTAATATAGTTTTACATTATTTTAACTCTCATATTAGGCTAAAAAATTATAAAAGGACAAATTTAAATATTTCTAATAGATGTATGCAACCGACAATAACTTATTTTATATGTAGAGTGATTTCGGAATCAGAGATCGACTAAAAATATAGAGTCCATATTATAGGGATGAAAAAACATTTTGCACAGACTTAAGATAAAGTGTGATTGTCATATTTATAGGGTCTAAAACGTTTTTAAGCTTAAATTAATTTTATTGGATAATTCAAAAAAACGAGTTTAACTCTTGGAATGGAACCCGATTCTCTTTTCATCAGAGTGAGATCAAAACTTAATTTATATCATCCCATAGAACTTTTCGAAATCAAAGTGAGATAAAAAATTAATTTACATCTTACCATATAACTATTGGATCGATTTTGGAGGATTCTTCATAGATAGAGAGTGTCATCCCAATAATACCGAGTATTATGATATCAATATTACGTGGTAGTATGTTATCTACTTGGTATATTTATAAAAAAACTAACTAAAAGCAATAGTTGTATCTAAACTATCTAATTATACTGGAGTACTAATTGTATATAGTTCCTAGTGCCTATGTGCATCATCTGACAAGTGCAGAAATTCCCACCCAAATGTCAGAGTCCGCAACTCAACTCCCGTATTTTCATCCGGAAAATAGAACTTTGGTATTTTGGGAAGGGGAACACAAAAGCCCCGCTTATCCGTCCTTTTCTCCTATTTCTGATGTACTCCGTGTGTTGTATTTTGGAATCAATGATGTAGAACTGGCCAACTGGGAACCGGAGTTTCTGCGCCTTTAGCAGCCGGATAGGGTATCCGGTCATTTTAGGCCTTCAGATCCATTTTCACTCCATCTCAAATCCTTCTTCTCCGGCCTCTTCTTCGTTGGAATGAAGAAACAATATAATATCCCCTGGTTCCTATCATACACAAATAATTTCGAAAAACACAAATATGGAAAGAGCTTTTAGAGGTCAATTTTCGGATAAATACAATCACATTATATTGAAATTAAAATACTCCGCGGTAATATTTTATGTCTAAACGACCAAGACTCAATCACTCGAGATCATATTCAACAACTTCATCAAGAAAATACTTACCGCTTTCAACTTTTGACCAACCAAATGTACGTACCCGCCCCCAAAAAATATACGGAGTAAAAAGATTGGCATCAACCATATTATCGTTATTCTTACTTCCTCAGTCTTTTATACGAGTAACTTTTTAAATTTCATTGATAGTTAATTTTTCCATAAGAAAGATAAATAATAAACTAATTGCTTATAAACACAATGACAAATTTTTAGGGACAATTGAAAAAAGAAATATGATAAAATTATAACAGACCGAAAATCTTAATTAAGTTATAATATCAACACAACCCGTCCAATAATTAGTGGATTATATTGCCAATAAAAAGTCAATTTAAAAACAAATTCCTATTCGCAAACAATGATGAGGAACTTGTACCACTTCATATAGGGGTGTGCACCAATTGGTTCAAGTCTGTAGAATTTCACAGTAGATCATCCATGTTTACAGAAGAAGAAACTAGTATGAATGAAGAAGGAGAGAACTGAACTTCGATTATTGGAGAAATGAAAGATACAGAGTTCGCACATTAAAAAGGAGCTACAAATTAATTTGTAACTAACTAACTGTATGAAAGATTCTAGCTACTTCTATTTATTTCTTCTGTATGTTGACGTGTGCATGTATCCTCTTTGTTGACTTTTATCTGTGAGCTCCAATACCCCCCCTCAAGAGGAGAGTACAAATTTTGTACACTCATCTTGGATAATAAGAAATGAAATGTATCTTTGCCTAATGGTTTGGTAAGGATGTCTGCCAATTGAAAACGACTTGGAACATAAAGAGTGTGAATGACACCAGATTGGATCCACTCTCTTATGAAGTGACAGTCTATTTCCACATGCTTGGTTCTTTCATGATGAATAGGATTTGCTGCTAAGGCTAGAGCAGATTTACTGTCACAATATATAGTAGCAGATGAAATAGGAAGCTTGAAACTCTTGAAGAGCTGCATTAACCCCAGAATTTCTGCAACTGAAGTAGCAAGTGCTCTATATTCAGCTTCAGCAGAGCTTCTGGAAACTGTATTTTGCTTCTTGGATTTCCAAGAAATGAGTGAGTTGCCTAGACATATGCAATAACCTGTGACTAATCTTCTGGTATCAACACAGCTTGCCCAGTTAGCGTCTGAAAAGCCTTTGAGCTGTAAATTGGAAGTAGAGGAATATAATAAGCCTTGCCCTATAGAACCTTTCAAATATCTGAGAATTCTGTGTGTCACGCCCCGGACCTCCCCGGACACGTCAACAACCCGCCGTACAATACGAATAGTCAACCGCAGTCCAACACATTCATATTATACAAGGCGTCTCGAATATCATTCACACGTAAGCCATCCATAAACAACATAACAAGCAATCGAATACGTAGCGGAAAACATAGTTTGAAAACAAATGCCACACGTGGCTAACATGAGCACGCAGGCTCTATAGTAAAATATTCATGAGCATGTTTATTAATGTTTAAAAACCGAATGGAGGAAGCACGAACCAAGTCTTCCCTCCTAGATGATCTCTCAAGCAACGAGCACAGGAAACAAGCTCTAGCCTCAACCTGAAAAATGGTGGTGGGACGCCCCCTAAGGGGTCAGCACTCTATAGGGCTATAAAGTGCTGGTGTGGATGGCATCTAATAGATATACAACAAGTATTTCAAACACAAGACCCTCAAATAGGGTGATAATATAATCTAGACCGTAACCCCAAGTTACCCCTTTTTAAAATATACTTACTTTATATATAAAGTCAAGTAGTCGGCCCGTAGGCCCAAGGTTTGTTTATCAAACATAGCCCAAAACCCCGTGACCCCTAGTCACAACAATTCATATGGTTCAACCCTAACACATATATTTGCATTCTCGAGTCCAACTCGACTACATCACCATGCACCTTAATTAACATAAGCTAACTACTCCACCGTGCATTTCTTGTGTCCAACTCAACTACATCACCATGCACAACAATCACCCCATCATGTCTACCCAATGCAATTCTATGAGCACGGCTCAAGTACATCCCCTTGCATTGGCATAGACCCCAATTCCTAAGCACTCGCTATGCCTAGAATTGTAATATCAATAATCTATTGTGGGACATCCTTACGGACTGCCCAACCATGGTCTTAGCATCACATTACATCAATTTAGTCACTTGCATCACAATCAAGTTCATCAATTACAATCAAATCCTTAGATTCAATTCCTCAACAATTACAACAATCATTAACTAGTATTTCAATACTATTAAGATTATTCTTATCCATCATATATTTCATATGTAAAACCCTACATATTTAGAGATATGTAGTAGCAACTTAATCATTCAATGTAATACATAAATAATCATCTATGTATCTACACAATTCACACATGAGTAAAATGCCTATTTCACACAATAGTTCATTTAACTCCATTTTTATCAATACTTTACCAAATCATTTCCCATTTCATTCTTTGGAAAATCGATCAATATTCCATCAATAAGTTATCATCATAATCCATGGAAAACATTATTTAGGCATTTAGGTAATCTTATGCTTAACCTACAAGTTGTAAGCAACTAGATGTCGATCTTTACCTCAATTGAGCTTTAAAACTTTCCTTCTCAATCCAATGACCAAAGCCTCGGCCAAGGAAGCTTGAGAACTGATTCCTTGCTTAGAAATGAGTGTTAAACAGCCTCCTCAAAGTGATAGTTCAACCCCTAAACGTTGGTACGAAAACAGCCCCTAGAATGGGTGTTTTCCGGCTAACTCGTTTCCTAGTTTTCCAAGATTTGCTCTAGGTTAGTATTTAACCTTTACATAAATAACAACAACTTTTTAAGGACCTATTACACACTTGGATTAGTGTATAATAGTTCCACCAATCGTTCATATCATTTGGAAAATGAAAGGAAAGGTTTTGGGGTTAACAACTCACTTTAGAAGAGTAAATCCGTTTCTGCGCGGTTGTGTTTTGCTCGGACGATTTGGAAGCCTTCCACTACTCCGATTGAAGCAAACCAGACCTTCACGGATTCCTCGTCTTGAGAGCTTTCTCTTGGTATCTCACACGCCTTAATTGGATTGGTATAACTCGAGATATCAACCAAACAGCCTCAGCACTCTCACAGCTCGAGTTTACAGACCACCGCTCACTCCAGCTCGATTTTTGTAAGATAACCCTCTCCCCTCGAACAGAGACCACTCAAATATGAAAATATACTTCAAAGGCTATCCAAGGACACCTCATTCACCTTATTTGGCCGAGTATAACATCACTCATGGAGGGAGACAACCAGCACCATCCTTTTGTGCGAAAATAGACTAGGTGGGGTTCCCTCTTGTTTCCTTTGTCAAGTCCAGCCCCTAGAGTCAGCTATGGCAGTCTCCTAACATTATTTTTCTTGTCTTGCAGGTGGAAAAGAAGGGATGGGGCGCAGCATGTTGTTCCCCAATTATTTTTGGGAGCAAAATATTAATCAATACATCAAAAAATGGAAGAATGGGTCCTATTGTTTTATCTTTTGTCAAAGATGTCTTTTTGTACTCATCCTAATTTATTTAGAACAATTCAACTTCCTACATCTCATTATTGATCTCCAATATGTGTAGGCTCATCTCAATAATTTACTTGATGGATATTATAGAAGGAAAAATCCTACTCCCATTATTTAACTCAATAATGTCAAGGATGGGATCATAGGCATTTGTATCCACCACAAATCATCCTATCACTTATTTTGACATTTTTTCATCCATATTATTGGACTACCAGCCGTGTGGGTCACCCCCGAGTGGGCCTACGACGCCATTCTCGAATACTTGCTATTTTAGCGGGTTGAGCCCAAAATAATATCTAGGCCGCCCGCCCTTCCTCAACTTGTCTTGAAACATTATGTATCTAGCCCGACACTAATATACGAGTTCGAACGGTATAATAATCGATCATTAATTACGTAAAAACACCAATCATTTACAATTGTTTGGGAATCAGAAATTCAATACATAAACTTTGAATTTTTAAATTGAATTTTCAAGGACTTTCGGGTGCGGTGTCACACTGTGAGCAGTTCTTATCACTTTGATATGAATTGAGTACTGAGTTTGAACTAATTTATGGAATGATATAAGATGTTGTTTAGTTTCAGATTTGTGTTTCATTAAGCAACACCAAACAACTCTTGAAAAATCATCTACGATGGTTAAGAAATATTGAAAACCATCATATGTAGGAATAGAGAAAGGTCCCCAAACATCACAGTGAATGAGATCAAAGATATGAGAAGATTTTATTGAACTTTGGGAGAACTGCAATCTGTGTTGCTTTGCCATAGGACAAATATTACAACTTTTATTGTCTAAAGAGGAAAAATGTAAAACATTCTTTAGAACTTGAAGCTTAGCATCAGATGCATGACCAAGTCTTTGGTGCCATATGCAAGAAGAAACATTGTGAGATGAGAATGAAGTATTTGCTGCAGACTCTTTCTTTTGAGGATTCAATATGTACAGTCCTTTGATCAACTCAGCAGTGCCAATCTTCAATTTCAAATTTTTGTCCTGTAAGACACATTCATTTGTAGAGAAAATGAGGTATAGAGATGTTTCAGATAATAGTCTACTCACAGAAAGTAGATTAACACTGAAATTGGGAACATATAAAACTCTTGTCAATATAATATTTAGAAAAAGCTCAACTGTCCCAATATGAGTAACAGAAGCTTTTGATCCATCAGGTAAATGAACAAAGAGGTTTGAAACAGGGTTTGAAGAGTTAAAAAGGGATATATTGCTGATCATATGATCAGTAGCACCTGTGTCAAGAATCCAGGAAGAGCAAGTGGGGAGTATGGTGTTGACACTAATCATAGATGTGTAAAAGCTGAGAAAACTACCTGTATTAGGTGCTTGGTTAGAGTTTAAGGGAGTGAGAGAAGTGTTTTGAGAGCTAGCAAGGTTATGGATCAAGCTAAGCAGGTGAAGATATTGATCCTGAGTCACCATTGAACTTGATTTATTGTCAACAACCTGTGGAACACTTTCTATCTGAGTATTATAAGCAGTGATCTGTCCTGTTCTTTCTTGTTTTGCAGCATTGTTCTGTATCTGTTTTCCCTTTGGTTTGTACCCAGGTGGAAATCCATGCAACCTATAGCACTTGTCAACAGTGTGATTAGTATATCCATAATGTGTACAAATAACTTTGTTCTCCTTCTTAAAATTGTTAGGTTTAAAACCTCTATTATGCATGATGTGATTAGCTGCAGGATCAAGCACAATCTGTTCATTCATATTCCCTTTACTCATCATAGCAATTGACTCCAACTGTAAACCATTCCCCATACTTCTTTGCATTTCATCTTGTAGAACATAGCTAAAAACCTGATTCAGACTAGGAAATGGCTTTATCACAAGAATCTGTCCTCTAATTCCAGCAAAAGTATCATTTAGGCTCATTAAGAACTTGATTGACATATTTCTTTCTTCCCTTTCTGTGATAGTTTTCAGGAAATCACATTTACAACCTTTAACAGCCCCGCATGTGCATGAAATAACAAGATTATATTGATTCAACTCTTTCCACAACGAATCAAGTTTATTGTAATAATCAGTAACATTCTGATTACCTTGAGTTGTTGTATAGATCTACTTTTGTAGATCAAAAATCCTGGGCAAATTACCTTGAGAGAAACGTTGACTCAATGTAGACCACATTAGTGCAGCACTTTCTTCATACAAAATGCATTGTGCTACATCTTTAGTGCAGGAATTCAGGATCCAGGACTGTGCCATAAGATCACACCTCTCCCAAGCTCCATGATTTTCATCATCCGAATTAGGTTTTGGAAGAGTTCCATCAACAATCTTCATTTTATTCTTTGCTCCAAGTGCAATCTTCATCGCTTTGCTCCAAGAATGATAGTTGTTTCCATTGAGCTGTGGATTAACCAGATTAGAATTAGGGTTATCTCCAGATCCTATATAATACGGACTGGATATATCTTCAAAGGACGATCGAGGCATGATTGAAAGATGATCTTGTTCGTCGTTTGCAGCTGGTGTTTAGGGTTCGAGCTCTGATACCATGTAGAATTTCACAGTAGATCATCCATGTTTACAGAAGAAGAAACTAGTATGAATGAAGGAGAGAACTGAACTTCATTATTGGAGAAATGAAAGATACAGAGTTCGCACATTAAAAAGGAGCTACAGATTAGTTTTTATATAGTAAAAGAAGCAAAACAGAATTTGTAACTAACTAACTGTATGAAAGATTCTAGCTACTTCTATTTATTTCTTCTGTATGTTGACGTGTGCATGTATCCTCTTTGTAGACTTTTATCTGTGAGCTCCAATAAAGTCGGAAAATTGAACTGGACCAGAAGAACCTGAATTGGATTGAAGCCCTAGCCACTCCGGTTTTCCATTTTTGACGAATTAAAATTCTGTTTTCTCGTCCGGTTCCATAAAAACCGAATTAATCTGGTTTGAATCGGATTAAGCCGGTTTTTTATATTTTAGAATATAATAATTATTACTTTAACGTAAAATAGCTATAAAATAACAAAAATAGAAATAATAACAATTTAAATAAAAATGAATGTAATACACGAAGTATAGTATTTTAATGTTATATTCATCTTTTTCTTCATTGTCTTGATAATAGAAATAACTTACATTTATTATTCTACACTTAACTCACTCCAATCTGTTCTCTTAAAAAGTCATAAATTATAGAAATCAGTTAAAATTAGTCATAACATTAATAATATTTCATACTCCATGCTTAAAAAAGATTAGTTGTATTTTTTATAAAAAAAAATTATAGAAATCAGTTTTTCGGTTCCTTTCTGGTTTGAACCGGTTAAACCGGTTCGGTTCCGGTAAAAATGGTAATATGTTTGGTCCAATTCCGGTTTCTATTTTTTGTAACACCAGTTATGGTCTGGCCCGGTTTTGAACCAATGCACAACCCTAACTTCATACTACATACATCGTATGTGAAAAGAAATACTCGCACAACTAGTAAAGTATCTCAAATATTATTTGTTGGGGTAATTGGCCCAATACAGTGTCGGCCCAATACCCCTAAATAAATGTTATCAGAAATCTAACAAGGTCTTAAAGCCTCTTGGTCAAGCTAGGGGCAACGCGTCCCGTGCGGCCCCATGTCTTTGGATGAATTGCATTGGCAGCCATGGAGCTCTTAGCCGGCTAGCTCAATTTTGGTGGGTGGGAAAACAAGGATTTTGGCGGGAAATGCATTTAATATACCATATATGCAAGATTTTGTGTTTCGAGGATTGGTCATTCAAGATCCTCCACATCATTACTACCACCTACACCATGGTAGTATAAATAGTACAATGTATATGTAGCATTTTTTTTCATTGTTAGGGATTGACAACCCACACTTGTACTCTCTAGCTTTAGCCTTTCTCTCTACTTCTTCTGTAATCACCACTTAGATTAGAGGCTCGGCGCTCGGCTTGGTAGGGTGTGTTGTACTTGTTCTAAGTTCTTGATAGACCTCTACCTGTCCTTTTACTTCTGCTAAAGTATTTGTGCCCTAAAAGAGTTAACTAATTCACTTGAATATACCTAACTCTCTAAAATATCCAAAGAAAGCCCAATGGGAAGTGTTGGGCCTTTGGACCTTGAGGAATAAACTTCAACATTATCCATGGCTCAAAACGAGGAACTTAATACAAGGATTCAATAATACTAAAAAGGTAATATTCCATCCCTGAGAAAAATCGAAATCATTCTAACAGTTATTTGAAATCATATAAGTTGAGTTTTGATCACACACTGAATCATTGAATCGACCAGACACTTAATTATTAGTAGGATGTAAGATTTACAATCAACTCGATGACATATCAACTCGATGACATATTGGGGGTGTTTGGTTAATGGCCTATCAACCATTTTTAACTAATTGAGGTGTTTGGTTAATTGGATTCTTCACCTAGCTTTTTGTTTCAAATAGTCAAAATTGAAAGTGCTATTAAAAGTGGCTTTTTGCTCTAAGCCGATTCAGAATATACATGGTATTCCAATCTTACCCGACCCGCGTCCATTCTCTTCTTCTTCCATTTAGACTTGGCTTTTCTTTATTTTTCCTTTACTACCCACCGCCACCGGCCATCTCCTTACTTTTATTTGCCTCCTCACAGTCTCACACACGTCAAAGAGAAAAACAAACCACCATTAAATTCAACTTTCCACCGAAGAGAACAACCATGCATGGACCAAGCATGCAGTTT